TGTTTTCTATCAGTTAGAAAATCTGTGTGCAGTTGATAAATATTTTGATCATTAAGTTGCATGTGGTGCCCTAAGTTGAATTCTGTGCTGTTTTAATTATTTATGGTGCTGAGGATGCCTTTTAAGTGTACCGTCATTGTCTAGCTGTCTTATTCGTTCGGTATAAAATCTAAGATTTGCACATGTGTAACCATACACATTCGTAGGTTATTGAAATATTTTGTGGTGAACAATTTCTTCTAAAATTGCACATCACATTTGGGTTTGTTCTCGTTGTATAAAATCATGGGTAAAATAATAAAGTCTACTAACGCATGTGTAGCATTGCATTATGCGTAAGAATCTGACTGGGTTTTTCCTGCCAGAAAAAATTTTCTGAGCTAATGTAGGCATCATAAATTTTTTTTTCTTGACATTTTTCAGTTTCATATTAACTGCTTTCTCATAATTTTTATTTGCTTGATATGGTCCATTATAAGTATATGCTAATGCTGTCCTGTGTCATGTTTACATTTTATGCTATAAAAAAAAGGTGCAATAATTTAAAACCTTCACGGATTACTGTCCTGGCACATTAGCGCGAATTTGTTGTCATTTATGTGGAATATCTGAATGTCATTCAAATCAGACCCCTTTGAAATAGTGGAGCTTGAGGATGACCAATCTTGAATCTTTGCACGGTTGCTGCTTGAGCAACTTGTAACTATGGCAATCAAATATCATGAGCCTCAATTACAAGTCCAGCTCTTTTGTTCATGGCCCAGTACTTCTGTCTGATTCCGTGCATTTTGTGACGCATGGCTTGCATTGCCTTGCTGTTCTCTTTGTGGCTCTGCAGGTTCCTCGTTTTTGCCTCTCTGGCAGTTCAATTGTGTCTGTGCAAGGTTTTGTTCCCTCACGCGCACAAGTAGAAATCAAAGATTAGGAGGAAACGGCCCCGAAGTGGTGGTCTAGTTCCTAAAATACTCGGCTGCTGACCCGCAGGTCGTGGGATCGAATTCCGACTGCGGTGGTTTCATTTTTAGAGAGAGAGAAACAAATGGAAAAGAAAGGCAGGGAGGTTGGAGGCGAAAATGTTGTAGGCCCATGTGCTCAGATTCGGCTGCTGTTAAAAAAAACAGTCGAAATCGCCGGAGCCCTCCACTAAGGCATCTCTCATACTCGCATGGTTGTTTTGGGGCGTTAAACCCTACGTATCTTCAAGATTAGAAAATGCCTGCAGAAACACTCAGGCGAGCGTCTCTTCCTTTGCCACTTCCGTCCAGCTCAATTTTTTCACCATTTTAATCTTTCAAGGCTCATTTGCTCCCACATGGAATAGCATTGCACTTCATGTGACTACTGTAGTACGTCTTTTTCAAGAAAGGACCACGTAATCCGTCACATGCACATCCACACAGACGAACATTCCTTTTCTTGAGCCCACTGTAATGAATCCTTTTCTTAGAAAGAAAACTTGAATATCCAAATATACAATTGTTTGCAAAAAGAACCCCTAAAAGTCAGATGCATTTGGCATTTATGCAGGCACAGAAAAATAATGGATTGATTAAATGTTATTGTCAAGATCTGAAGTACATAAAATCTTTATTTGGTGTGTGAGCAATTGAGTTTATAGAGAAATCTGTAAGTATAATGAAAATTGAAATGGAAATAGAGATAAGTGCCTTGTGTGTTTTGTAAGCCATTCCATCATCACAGTTTGATTTCACTTGAATGTCGATTGGCTAAACCTACCGCCACGACCCACTGAAGTAAGGCTATACTGCTGTGTCAAATTTGGTGTCTTTTCTGAAGTTCATCCGCTCAAGGTCGTTTGTTTTGAGTTTTATGTGAGTTTTGTCTTGAACCTCGGACAGAAGATCCAGTATATTGTTTTCAGCTTAACATATCAGTATCCTGTTACAACCTTGCCATCAAAACAATATGTAACAAACCTCAGTTAAGGAAAATGTATAATAATTTTTTTCAATTTAACAGTTTTTCTGCTAATTTCAGGGAAACCTGTTGTCAAGACTACAGTGAAAGCGATGTCCAGAGTTTCTAGAGCCTGCATGGCACATTCTGATGGAAGTATAACACAAAAGACATTTCTGCCCTAGTGTACCTACAAGTAGTAGCTCCCAACTACAGCGATATTCAGAGTCATTGTCTCATTTCTCATTATTGGCAGCACTGTATCACTTATGTTGTGTATTGTAAAGGCGCGTTTACACTTGAGAGACTTCTGACATGAGCCCGATGAAAACACGAGGCAGACGCAATCGATTGGCTGACGAGTTGCCCGCTGACAAAGTTGCGAGACACCATAGTCACACTAGGCCGACGACAACGATGCCTCACAATAGAGCGTTTTATCGTAGGTTAACATGATGAGAGACCGAAAACCCCAGCAAGACGCCTCCGCAGCCCTGTCGTTGGCGAGATCGACGGCTGAGCGAAAATTGGCCCCATGTTTTTGCTTCAAATGACCACGAAGAGGGCAGTCTTGGGGGAGTTAACAATGCCCTCTCCGAGGCTTCCGCGGCGTCTGAATAGGCAGCTCGAGCATCCAACGGAAGTCTTTTCTTCGCTACCCTATATTGTATCCCCAACATCGTCCTTCGTTACCGTAGATTATGGGGAGGGCTGCGCCGAGTAGCCGGAGAGGAACTAAGGCAGAGCAGGGAGCATGGCTGAAGATGAGGTGTAGGTGTGCTAGTTTAGTCGGTGTCACTGCGTGTGCTCCCAATGTGACCAGAGAGTTGGCCAACAAAAGACTCTGAGCACGACAAGGCACAGGCGGGGCCTTCGTGAGACCACCGGTGGACTGCTTGTGTCTTTGCAGTGTACATAGGCCGACAAGGGAAAAGACACTCCTAAAGACAGCCTGCAGACTAAAATTGGTATCTTGTCTCTCTAGTGTAAACGATGAAGCACATATCAAGAGGGGGTCTAAGGGCAACGTGAATTATTTTCTTATTGAAATGCTTTACGAGATTTCATTCATGCAAGCATTGTAAGGGACCATCGTTAAGTCTATGCATTTCTTCCGAGAGGGAAGTGTTCTATATTTTGTATATATTTATTTGTTGATTCTTTATGTGCATATTTTTGTACATTCCTGCACATATATGCATATATCTTAAGCTTTTGCTTCGTCACTCATGTTTTTTTTAATTCAGATTGTGGCGGGGTATCAGAGTGCACTGGTTGTTTTTAATACGTAATAATTTTTCCAAGGTTTAAATGTTATTTAGTACATTCGCAGTCCGCTCAATTTTTATTCAGCTTTATGCGATAGTCTCAAACAAGCATCCGTAAACTGGCCTATTTCACTTATGTACGCCCCCAGCTGGAATTTGCATCTTCAGTCTGGTCCCCTTTCCAAGATTACCTAACCACAATGCTAGAGTCCATCACAAACAGAGCAGCCCGGTTATATATCTCGCAATTATAGCACTCATTGCAGCGTAACAACTATTAAAACAAGAACATTCTATTTCGCCATTGCACGTTCGTCGCTCTGTTGCCATTGTTATGTTTGCTGCATAAATATATTCACAGCACAAGACGTTCTACGCTACCCCTAACAGCACCATTGCGCATGTCAGACGCCTGCACAATCACCTTAGTTTCACTCTCATTTACGGCAAAACGAAGGCATTCAACTTATCAGCGCTTCCTAAGGCCATATCATTATGGAACGATCTTCCTTACTGCATCGCCTCCATCACCGATCCAGATTCTTTTCGCGAACATGTGTGTAATCATTTTTCATCGCACTAATCGCTCTAACTTCACTGATGTTTGTAGCTGCAGCTGTGCCACTCACCTAGTTTCACACTTCTCTTTGGTTCTCTTTAGTTTTTGCTGTACCCACCGTTGTCTTGCAATTTATATTGGTAAACGCCTTCGTACGGCTAGCAGTATGTGTGTTTAGAACAACAACATGTCCTTCAAGTATTCTTAGTCATCATTTGACATAGTGACCTTCTTTTATTCTCCACTCTCCTATTTTTTTCATATTTGTACTGTCTGCCATCATTGGTACTCCGAAACTGAAAATTAGCATTTGTCTTAAAGACAATGATTTTGTGATTCATGAGAAATAAATGACGGGTAATGTAGATTCTTTCCTTTTTTTTAACACTGGCTTTCTATTTGTGGTCATGAGTGCTGAGCCATTGAAATATCTGGCTGATAATGTGTTCAACACATGACCGCCCACTAGGGGCGATGAAGTCTGCATGCAAGATGTACTTAAACATCTGCGCCTTTTCCACTTGCAATACTAGTAATAAGATACAGAGTCCTCTCCTGATTCTCTGGATTGTGTTGACTTTTTTTATTGTTTTATATGTATGTATGTATGTATACATATATTGTAGCGAAGCCTCCGAACTCTGAAATGGGTCTAACTCTTGAGTACCTTCTGGTGGGGCTACGCAACGAGGACGTTGCTTGCGCTGAGAGTTTGTGCTTGGCCGTGACTGTCGCCATTGTGTATGCTCGCTTGTTGCCGGCTAATATATGCTTAACAAATTGGTGGAGAGATCTGCTATCTCCTTCAATGCCCTTGGAGCTACGATCACGTACCCTGCTAACTACCATGTCCCCTGGCGCCTCTCAGCATACGCCTCCTCCCCTGCCACTTCCTTGTCCTGGTGTCTTCAGAATCCACGATCCACCCATCTTCACTGGCTCTGATGGCACTGACGTGGAGGACTGGCTCGCCACATACGAGTGCGTGAGCGTCCCCAACAAATGGGATGGGAACGGCAAGCTTGCCAACTTGGTGTTCTACCTTGCGGGTGTTGCTAGTTTGTGGTATAACAACCCACGCGTCCGATTTTGCAACCTGGTCCGAATTTAAGAACGCTATCATCGATTTCGGCCGCCCATCTGTTCACAAGCTGCAAGGCGAGCAGCGCTTATGTGAACGCACTCAGGAGGCTGGCGAGTCATTCACCAGCTATATTGAAGATTTCCTGTACTTTCGCAACAAATCCAATCACACCATGTCCGAGATTGACAAGGTCCAAAACATCATAAAAGGCATTGACGATGATGCCTTCATGATGCTGCTCGCCAAAAACGCCGGCACAGTGGTTGAGGTCATCACAATGTGCCAGAACTACGAGGAGCTCCGCCGGCAGCGTTCGATGACCTATCGCTCCCCACCACGAGCTGTAACGCTTGCTGGCTTGAGGGGCAGTTGTGACCAAGTGCTGTTGATGGCAGACCTATAGTCCTTCATCCGTGAGGAAATCGTGTGTCAGTTCTCTCTCTTGCCCTTTGCCCACCAACAGGCTGTTCAACAATTGGCTACTACCCTTCTCTCTCCCATCCGTCAAGCGATTGAGCAGGAAATAGCGGAGGTAATGCCTGCGTACCACCCCCAACAGCCTCGGGCTCCTGCGCCCCTTAGTTACACCCAAGTGGTCGCCAGGCTGCCTCAAGTCGTTCCAGCACCTGCCGCTCTGACCTACGCCGAAGCTGCTGCTTGGCCTGCGTCCTTTGCAGCAGGTATGCCCACTACATATGTTGACGTAACCCCTCAGCTTCAGCCCACCATACAGCCACCGTTCCATCCATTGGCCCTTGCGACATGAGGAGATTTACCCCGGTGAACATATGGCGCACACCCGACAACCGGCCCATCTGCTTTGCCTGCGGTATCGCCGGTCCATAGCCCGTTATTGTCATCGTGCACAGCCGGCTCCAATTTTTTTGCCTGTTGCTGACCAGCTCAGCTGTCCCTATCACGAAGAACCGCCGTCTATGCTACGATCGTTTCACCCAGGTCCATCTCCTCGAAGGTCGCCGTCTTCACGACGTCGTTCTCTGTCCCCCATGCGGCCAAGTTCGGCTGCCCATGAGCGGGAAAACTAGTCGTCGCAGTCCCCGAGGCAAGGACTGCGACGCTTTCGCAATGTGAAAGCCCTCAGAGCAGCCCCTCGAATGTCCTTGATGTGCTTGTGGACGGTGTTTGTGCATCGGCTCTTATTGACACTGGAGCTGCCGTATCAGTTATAGACGAAAAACTGTGCCGCTTACTTCGAAAAGTACGACGCCACTTTCTGGGTTGGCCCTTCGTACTACTAGTTTGCATCATATTCATCCTACAGCAGGGTGCACTGCTTGCGTTGTCATTCAGGACGTTCTGTATGTGGCCCAGTTTTTCATCATTCCGGCAAGCTCTCATGACGTCATCCTGGGACGGGACTTTCTTTCCCGCCATGACGCCATCATCCATTGTGCCGCCGCGAAAATTGAACTCTCACCCTTCTCGCATTTGACCCCAGAAGACAGTCTCTCAACACTCAGCAGGATTATAATGAAACACGTTACAACAGTGCCTCCAAACTCGACGACGGCTCACTCGTTTCACCATCCGACCGCGCTTGTAGCAGGAAAGGGTTGCTAGTACCTTTCGTGACCGTGCAGGTCAACCAGGGCCATGCCACTATTTTTATAACCAACCCATCCCTGCACACTGTTACCTTGCTTCGAGGGGAATGTCTCAGCAGAGTGGAACCAGTTGACGACGGACAAATCCTCGACATACCCTATGACACTCGTTGTCCCAGGTTGTGTACCATCAATGCTGTTTCCACTTCTGATCCATCATCTGCTGATGTATTCAGCCCCTCCATCGCTGACAATCTTACGGCAGTACAGTGTTCCCAGCTTCTGGACCTGTTGCAAGAATATCGTTCTTCTTTCGATGTCGGGCGAAGTTCTCTGGGTCGCACGTCCGCTGTTACGCATTGCGTTGACACTAAGGCCCATCTACCTTTAAGGCAACGTCAATATCGCGTGTTGCCTGCTGAATGTTGGGTAATTAATGAGCAGGTTGACAATATGCTCTAACGCGACATTATTCGGCCCTCAGACAGTTCATGGGCGTCTCCTGTTGTTCTTGTTGCGAAGAAAGACGGTTCTGTGCGGTTCTGTGTTGACTATAGACGGCTCAATAAGATCATTCGCAAAGATGTTTAACCACTGCCACGCATCGATGATGCGATTGACAGCCTTCTTGGAGCCGAATTTTTTTCTTCTCTCGATCTGCGCTCTGGGTACTAGCAAGTACCCATGGCTCACGACGCTCGACCAAAGACCGCCTTCATCACACCTTAGGGCTTAAACGAGTTTAACGTCATGCAGTTTGGTCTATGTAATGCACCTGCTACCTTTGAGCGCATGATAGACACCGTTCTGCGCAACTTGAAATGGTACACGTGCTTGTGTTACCTCGACGATGTCATTGTCTTCGCTTCGAATTTCTCCACGCATCTTCAACGTCTGAAAGAAGTTTTCACACGTGTGAGCAATGCCGGCTTGAAACTAAATCTGAAGAAGTGCCACTTCGCAGCACGGCAACTCGCCATCCTAGGGTTTGTCGTGGCCAAGGACGGCATTCTTCCTGATCCTGCCAAGCTTCGGGCCGTGGCCAAATTCCCCTAACCTGCATCTATCAAAGAACTGCATAGTTTCGTGGGCCTGTGCTCATACTTCCAACGCTTCATACGAAACTTTGCCATGATCTTATCACTGCTGACGAAGCTTCTTGGAAGTAGCGGGCCCCTCAATTCGTGGTCATCCGAATGCGACCACGCATTCGCAAAGCTCCGCCATTTGTTGACGTCGCCTCCCATTCTGTTTCACTACGACCCTACAGCCCCAACGGAGGGTCACACGGACGCCAGCGGTGTAGGCTTCGGCGCTGTCTTGGCACAGCGCAAACCCTGATTTTCTTATTATGTCGTATCGTATGCAAGCCGTACGCTCACAAGAGCCGAGACAAATTGCACTGTCCTGGAAAAAGAGTGCCTGGCGATTGTCTGGGCCCTTACAAAGTTTCGACCTTATTTGTATGGTCGCCCATTCGATGTCTTCACCGACCATCATGCACTATGCTGGCTTTCATCATTTATGAAAAAGAGTGCCTGGCAATTGTCTGGGCCCTTACAAAGTTTCGACCTTATTTGTATGGTCGCCCATTAGATGTCTTCACCGACCATCATGCACTATGCTGGCTTTCATCATTTATGGATCCTTTGGGCCGTCTCGCCCATTGGGCTCTTCGCTTACAAGACTACGACATCTGCGCGCTGTACCGCAACGGACGCCAGCATGCTGACACCGATGCCGTCTCGCGCTCCCCTCTACCTCAAGACGACGTGCCCTACTCAGTAATCTCAATTGCTGTATCTGCCATCGATGTTGACATCCTCACTATCGAACAGCGAAAGGATAATTGGATCGCCCGCTGATCGACTTTCTCTCTGATCCGTCTGCAACACCATCCACGCGTGCCTTGCGTCGTCGAGCTCACCATTTCGCTATCTGTGACGGCCTCCTACACCGACGCAATTACGACTCCGATGGCCGGCAGTGGTTACTCGTCATAGCCCACAGTCTGCGGTGGGAGATATGTGAATCTTTTCATTCTGATCCGCAATGTGCGCACTCTGGGGTATCCAAAACTTACCACTGCATTCGACAACGCTACTTCTGGCGCGGGATGTACAGCTACGTGCAGCAGTTCGTTCGCTTTTGCCTCGTTTACCAATGCCGCAAATCGTCAGCACACATGTCGCACGCTGCTCTGCAACCGTTACCTTGCCCTGACTGTCCCTTTTGGCGCGAAGGTATCGATTTGTATGGAACATTTCCTCTGACGTCGGCTGGTAACCACTGGGCCAACGTTGTTGTAGACCATTTAACGCTATACGTCGAAACCGCCACTCTCCCGGCGGCTACTTCGCGCGATGTTGCGTCGTTCCTGCTGCATCAATTCATACTGCGCCAGGGACCACTCCAAGAGCTTCTCAGCGATCAAGGCCGTTTCTTCTTGTCGGAAGTCGTCGAAGCCTTTCTGACGGAGTGTCATTCTGTCCACTGTATAACTACTGCCTACCACCCGCAGACGAATTGCCTCGCCGAGCGCTTTAACCGCACCCTCGACGACATGCTTTCGATGTTCGTCGCCGCCAACCACACGAATCAGGATAATATACTGCGCTTCGTCACCTACGCCTACAACACCGCCCCTCAGAGCACGACCGGTTTTCACCTTTCTACTTGCTGAACGGAAGGCACCCGTCGCACGCCATGGACACGATACTCCCGTACACGCCGGATCCATCTGAGTGTGCACCTATTTCTGAGAGAGCCAGGCTTCCTGAAGAGTGTCGCGAGCTTGCCAAGATTTTTACAACAGATGAGCAAGAGCGGCAGAAGAGTATTCGTGATTGCTCCACCATTTCTGAGCCCACAATCCTTTCTGGTGCGCTTGTATGGCTCTCGATCTTGACATCTGTAGCTGGCCTCTCTTCCAAACTACTTCCCAAATACAAAGGCCCCTACCGTGTCATCGAGCGCACATCTCCGGTCAACTATCTGATCGAACCCGTCGAACAATCTTCGGACACGCGCCGCCGTGGGTCCGACATCGTCAACGTGGAGCACCTGAAGGCTTATTATGACCAGCTCATAGTAACAAGCTGTTAGGTCGCCAGGCGGCTCCCTTTTCGACCCCGGGGTAATTGTAGCAAAGCCTCCGAACTCTGAAATGAGTCGAATTCTTGAGTACCTTCTAGTGGGGCTACCCAACAAGGACGCAGCTCGTGCTGAGATTCCGTGCTTGGCTGTGACTGTCGCCATTGTGTATGCTCGCTGGTTGCCGGCTAATAAATGCCTTAATAATATATATATATATAATGTTGCTATGAAAAAAAAAAAAAACAGAACTCTTGATATTGCATATGGGGAAACTTCCCCATATGCAATATTAATTGATTATCACTTATATATAACATTTATTAATTATCATTTATGTAGTTCGGGGCAGTGTCCAAAAACGCTTTTTTAAATATTTGGAAAAACTGCATTTTGCTTTACAAATTATAGTTTATGCATGAATAGTTGAGAGGGATGTCAAGAAGAATCAGTTGACTGCATGTAAGAGGGTTTTAGTATTAATATGTTTTGTTTGGTGCTGGGTCGTGTTTGTGTGGACAATACTCGTGCAGCAGCAGCAGCAGCCGCTCAATGAACCCAGCCTCACCAAATCGGTGTGCTGTACTAAGATCTGAAATAGCTCGTTTGTCACAATGTCCATCAGAGGTGTCCGAGTGAAAAGCCCAATTATTGAAAGCAACAAGATGTTCTATATTTGTGTGTATTTCGGTTGTATCAGTGAGTTCTTGTTTGGGTCGCTTATGTGAAACTAACAGATATGTTTGTATCACTTGATTTTCTTGGATTCAATGTGCCCACATGATATCATCAGTGCTCGTAATAGTTCCACTACTATCATGCGACAGGTTCAATGGTTTTATACACTAACATTGGAAATAATAAATTCTCTCATGGTGTAAAAATGATTGCTGGCGTTATGCAAATACAAGTAGCCATGTACATGATACTTGCTTATTAGAAGTACAAATTTTTTACATTCAGTCTACATATGTTATTACAGTTTTTTAATTATAGTCATTTTATGCATCTTGAGTTCACCTGGTTCTTGGCCCTTTGAAGTCGCATTAGATTTGGCCATAATGACTTGTTACACTAATGCATCTACATTTTACATTCCTTGGTGCTCCATGGCCATTGTAGCCTTTGTATGATTAAATTATACTGCTAGCGAAAACCAGTGAAATGTAACAGATTGCCTTTGCATTCCAGCATGCAAAAAAATCCGGCCTGTTTCTCAATGAATTAATTCTTTTCAGCTCTGTGAAGTTTGTTTACTGACCCATGTTTTTGTAAATTTCTGCGGTTCTTTCCTTCTTTTTGAGTAACCGCTCTGAAAACTCCTTCCGCGTTTCCATTTAAAAAAGAAACAGTGTTGTAGTGAGCACATTGCATTCAGTTGTATTTGTTTGCAGACTTAGGTCTCGCATTTGTGTTCACTTTAACGTCTAGCACTTCATTATTTATAAAGCTCGAGAAACACACCTCCCGAAACGTCTTGCAATGTGCCAAAAAAAAAAAAAACATTCTACGCATTCAGTTTTCTGGAATCTATTATTGATTACATCTACAGTTAATGACAAGTATTTGTTTGGCTGCCAGAAGCTGTATTTATTATATTCCACTCATATATAGTGTGCTGAAAAGGAGAAAACGAATTTTCTTTGTGCTGGTTTAGCTCACTGTACATATGTGTCTTTCACTTGTTATATGCTTTAGCAATCAATTGTTCATTTTCATATTTCTGTTACACATACAGTGCCCAAATTTGTATCACCTTATTTAGTTACTGAAAAAGTGGTAACTCAATTACAATATTATAAAGTGTAATTATTAAGGATTTTTTAACCGTGAAGCTTAGTTGATGCATCAGATAAAAATATATTGGAGCTTACTATGTTGTTTGCGCTGGTCTTAACAGTATTTTTTTTTTTGCTGTTTCAGGTGTGTTCATTCTTTGTATGAAGAAGTGAAGATGCTGTATGCTTTGGATTTTTCCAGAAATGCATTCAACCAGCCTCTATTTACAAATCACACAGCATTTTATGCTAATGTTACAGGTCAATACACTACAAACATAAGATTGTCGTAGTGATGTGACCGTGTTGATGGATTTCTGTTGATACACGAGTGAAGTTGACAATTTACCTTTTATACTGTTAGGCAACTGAAATTGGGAAGAGCGTAATACAGTTCGGCACAGAGTGGGTGTCTCAGTCAGAGTGAAGAAATTGTCTGTCTTACAAAGCACTGATTTAAGTTAGGTATTGATAAAGGCATGCCTTTACTTATATCTATGCACTAAGATAAACAGGTTGGTAAGTAATTAACTGCCTGATCTTGTTAGTGGCAGCCTTGAGTTTGTACTTTAATGCATATATATTATTAATAAGCATACAGCAGCTGTCTGGTGTTTGTTGTCATTTTCTCTGTAAAAACGTTGAATATGTCTCGGCTTACTGCTCAAGAGAATCTTAAAATAATGTGTACAACAAACTCTATTTTATTCACTGTGCCACTTAGTCACTGAAATTTGCCCAATTGTTCCACTATTCACTTTGGTCACCTAACTTTGTTCCATTCCTAATTTAATCTTTGGTTTTACCATTAATTAGCTTCCCTCTGAGGTGGTGCTTATAAATACTAGTGCATCAAGTTTAATGCATTGTTTCATAATATATCCAAGGTAGCATGTTAGCTTATCTGGCTTTTTCAGCGTGGAAAAATTTTGTTGTGGTTGTCATGGTTCAGTATAGTTATACATTGGGATGAGGTGGAATATTTACATGTGTGTGGGGTCATGTAAGTGTCTGAAACAATGTGATTGAATATCTCAGTTTGTATTGTGTAGTATCATTATGTTTTCAGTCAAAAAGAGTGGAGACCTTAATGGGAAGTGTATAAATAGTGCTAGTATACACATTACATTGCGCTAGTACACTATGCAGTCCACATAAACGCACCATCAATGTTGACCGCCGAAACTGTGATGCCATATGATGCCTTGTTTATGATATTTTGCTTCTTTCCACATTATTTTATATGAACTTCTTTGATTCATATATTGTTTCCTGTGTTTCATGTGTTGAAATATGAACTGAGTTCCTGTACAGCATCGTCCTAGAATAAAAGAGAAGATTTGATTAATACATCAATGTTTTGGCACTTATTGTATCGATATAGTACAAAGAAAGTTGGCTAATGAGGCAAAGTATCATATTTGTATCTAATAAGGGCTCCTGTGCATTCACTGAATGTTGTGTATATATTAACGTTGTGCGACATGTACATATACATCCCAGTTTTCCATCTGCCGGAAAGTGTTTTGGCAACATCATCTCAGTAGTTAGGGAAATGCCAAGTCACTCATATGTTACCTAATCTTTGCTATATTATGGAACATTTTTTCATTGTGTTTTAGAAGGGTGGTTGTACTGTTACAATGGTGTCGATTTCAATAAATTTTTTAATGATCGCTTCTGAATTTTTTTTGCTGACAGTATGACAGTGTTTTGCTCCTTTTTGTTACACTCCCATGAGTTTTTTGCAGTAAACTAATGGCTTGATTTTATTGAAATTCGTCTTACACTATTCCTTTGTAGTATATATTACTATACCACAGCCTATCTTAACATTATTAATACAAAGATATAGGGCAACCTACAAAGGGGTAAATGAAACACTTGAAGAGAGAAATGGCAACTTTTGTAAAACATGCTGTGTCATTGCATGGTCACTGCTACAGTAACATGTGGTTTGCATAGTATGCTTCATTTACAAGGGCAGCAACTATTTGTCATTGTCTCGTGCTGTAATTTATTTTCAGAAAATCTCTGTGACATGGTTTTCATTGCTTTCGGTATTTCCTGTGGCTTTGCAGGTTCCTTGTCTTCGGAATCCCGTGAGCGGTACCATTCACTCGTGTCCGTCCAAGGCGGACTGCATTCTTGCCGACAGTGCACTTATGTGACCAAGTACAGTGCAAGCATGAGAAGGCACCTTCGCAAACACACCGGCGAGCGACCCTTCCAGTGCCACTTGTGTCCAGCTGTATTCAATCAAACGGGTCATCTCGCAAGACATATTCGTACGCACACAGGAGAGCGTCCCTTTTCCTGTGACGTATGCAGTGCATCATTCTCAGAAAGATCAAACCTCATGAAACACATGCACATCCACACAGGAAAGCGTCCCTATTCTTGTGACGTATGCAACACATCATTTTTGCAAAAAGCACACCTCATAACTCACATGCGTACCCACTCAAGAGAGCTTCCATATTCCTGCGACCAATGCAGTGCATCGTTCTCGCAGAAAAACTCCCTTGTGAGACATATGCGCAACCACACAGGGGAGCGTCCTTTTTCCTGTGACCACTGCAATGCATCCTTTTCACAAAATGAGAAACTCTCGCTGCATGTGTCTCGTTATCATAAAACCAACAGGCCGTAAATAGTGAGTAATTAACAAGCTTTCTTGGAAGAGAAGGAAGTGTGCAAGGTGGGCGAGAGTTTGTTGACTAGAGGTTACAGTGTAGATTTAGATCTGGAAAGTAACTTGATCCGGAAAGGGTGCAATGAGAGGCCACTTTGAGCTGTGACTATCTACACAACTGTGCTCCACTCTGAAACAACACATGCTCCATAAAAAAAAAAAAAGGGAAGTAGCTAGAGGCACATGGGAATAAAATATTGTGCAGTCCCAAGTGGATGAAAAAACTTTCAGCTTGGTTGGGATCTAAACCATCGTTCTCGAATTAGGTGTTTTATGTTGGACATAAAGCGGTATTGCTTTTATATTCGGCATAGTTTGTTTGCCTTGATGTCATGAGATTGTGTACCTTTAAAAAGCTACATATGTTGATTTTATTCGTAAGCCCGCTTCGGCATTTGTTTAGGAAACTTTGCAAATGTCGCTTTGCTTGAATGAACTCAAAGACAACAGTGTGTGTGTTTGTGTGTGTATATGTATGTATATATATATATATATATATATATATATATATATATATATATATATATATATATATATTAGGAAGTAGAGGGAATGTTATGTTGGATTTTGCATAATTGATGAACGATAAATATTTTAATGTTACAATGACGAAAAGACCTCTCGCCGTATTTAGTACTGACTTCTTGAGTAGTGGGGACAAGTAGAAATGTACAGTCGACCACGAAAGTTTACAAACCATGGAAAAGCCTCTTTGCGACACTTTCGCTGCATCAGAGGCGGCTGAAGGCAACGCAGTGCCCATGAAGCATGCCTCTTTAAATCTATGACCGTTGTCTTTTCTGACCGGGCTCTAATAATTTTCACTTTTCAAGTTTTAAATCGATGTGCTTTTCTGGCATCTGGGTCTATGTGCTTTTGCCTTGTAAGCAGTTGATGAGTGGAACTGTTATCAATTGCAGTCTTTGTCAGAAGGGGATACCTAGCCAACGAAACGCTTTTGGAGGCACACTATGATTGGCCGCGAGATCGAACGGCGTCAACGCCTGGCAGCAACTGGCTGAAGCACGCAAGTGTGGATTGCCCCGTGCGTCGTCTGCTAGCCGCGTTTTAGGGGTTCGGTTGTGAACGAAAACGAGGGTCTATGCCCAACTACAGCACTGTAGTTTATCTATTATGCGAGGAGCCTTAGGTGTGTTTATCTGGTCGTGGTACGACTGTATAGAAATAATAATATCGCATTAACTGTGACACTTCCGTACTTAAACTGTACATAAGACGGAGGTGCCATGCGCAATGGTGTGCTTAAATTTAGGAAAGCAGTAAAGAGTCGAGACATTCAAAATTAATTCACACGAAATGCCTTACATTTAATGTTGTATAGTTTCACTGAAAATCTCGTCTTTTTTACAGTGCCTTGAGTGTTTGTGTGGCGTTGTTATTGACTGATGGAAAGCAGCGCTCATAGGAAAACAAGTTACGAAATCGGATATCCCACATCCTATATCCAACATGAGATATACATTCAATTCATCCATCCACCTACACGTCCTAGCAATGAAATGTATTTTTCAGCATGATGTGAGCAATTTTTTTCTAAATTGTGGGTAGTTCTACAAACCATCATGGCGTTTCTTTTTCAGGACAAAGTGTAGTTTAGTGATGGCTGTTTTGATGCACCAGAGATGAAGAAATGGGCAACTGCTTGAATAGGTTACTTGTATGTTTTAGAACTTTTCATTTATTACCAGTGCAACAGTTTCAGGCATGTATGAAAACACCTAGATGGCCTCTGGTGGAACCAGCGCCTTGGCAGTTTTTCAATGTGCATTCAATCCAGTCAAACATTGCCAGTGCCTTCCCAACAGTCTCCACCCTCTGCCAGCTCAATTTATGCGAAAGCTGGAGTCAAGATTGAAGCTAACTGCAAATGCAGAGCTTCTACAGCCGGCTTTGCACGTCCTGTTTGAAAGCATTCTGCAAGTGACATTAGTGGCACGGCATGCCACTCAACCATTGGCTCAGTAGTGGTCATGCTCACATTTAGGATTGCCTCCTTGAATGTTGGCAACGTTGTAGCACCTTGATTTTGCGTTGTCCTTAGGGAGTATGTCGGTGGGTAGTCTAAGGGAGTGTACAATATTTTCTTCTGATAGTGCATTATGAAATTTTTCAAGCCAGCATTGTAAGGGGAAATGGTAAAGGGACACTAAAGAGTACCAAGGACTTGGTTTAGATTAAAAAATTGCACTCTGAGAAATCTAATGCCATATGTGTCTCTATCAAATGTTCATTATTTTTGTTGAAGCTGTTATTAAAGCTGTTACGAGATCAATACTCAGGTCACATGCAGCGATGTAATTGTCCGCTGCCACCAGTGTCCGTAACTACTATCCTGAAATAAGAAAAAAAAAAACCTAGCACCTTGGACACAGTGGGGCTCGAACCAAGGTCCGCTGCCAAGGCCAGCCCAGTATTCTATAACTGAGCAACAGTGGTTCTTGGGACTTGTTCACTAACTTGCCTTAGGCAGGCTTAATGTGGGGAAAGGAATTGTGGTAATATCAGTGATAAAGTTCTTTAGAACAGCAAAAAAACAACGAGGTGTCACACAATACCAATAGCATAAGGATTGGTGCGTCCAACGCTCCAACCCATTACAAAAGCTTATTTTTGATCACCTATATATATACATATATATATATATATATATATATATATATATATATATAAGGTATGGGATATGGCACAACGGGAGCGTTTTCAACAAGGATAAATATATTTATTTCCCAACAGTTTCGGGAGGGGTCCTCCCTTCATCAGGGGATGAGTTATACTGACATAAATTTCCAAACTTCGTTGCTGCCGCGTCCCTCTCGCCTTGAAACATGTTTGCGAGAGTGAGAGGGAACTGAAACAAAGGGGGGAGAGAAAAAGAAAGATAAGAAAGTAAAAAAGAGGAAGAACCACTGTCAACATTGAGAACGAAACCAACTGTCCGTGTACGTCCACATACGTTTCTTATCACGTGCTGTTCAGTTCTCGACGTGTGTCGGGCCACCCAAGATTGTCGTCGCGGTGCCGCGAGGGTCCGTGACGGCGTGCGTAAAGAAAGGGTTACCCCGTAATGGGTCGGTCGGCATGCGGCGTGCGTAAAGGAAGGGTCTCCCGTGAATGGGTCGGTCGGCTCTTTTTACCCTTAATCTTCGTCCGTTTCCCTTCAATGGTCATCAAGTGGTAGGCGAACGAAAACACTTTGTGCATGTGGAAAAAGGACAGTTGGTTTCGTTCTCAATGTTGACAGTGGTTCTTCCTCTTTTTTACTTTTTCTTTTTTTTCTCTCCCCCCCCTTTTTTTCCAGTTCCCTCTCACTCTCGCAAACATGTTTCAAGGCGAGAGAGACGCGGCAGCAACGAAGTTAGGAAATTCATGTCAGTATAACTCATCCCCTGATGAAGGGAGGACCCCTCCCGAAACTGTTAAGAAATAAATATATTTATCCTTGTTGACAACGCTCCCGTTGTGCCATATCATATCCCCTACCTTCACAAAGACTAACTGGCCCATTGAATTACTCCCACCATATATATATACATATATATATATATAAATATATATATATATATATATATATATATATATATATATATATATATATATATATATATATATATATATATATATATATATATATATATATATATATATATAAAATAAGGGAAAGAAGTGTATACCTAAGGGCTCGTTTTTTTCGTGTTTTAACACAATATTAATGAGATCTAACAGACTGTAATGCCAAGAAATGTACAGGGAAAGTTATTAGAACCAATGAAATGTAAATAAGAAGAAAGAAAAGTGGATGAAAAAATCACCAGCCGTGAGTAGGAATCGAACCTACGACCTTCGAATAACGCGTTCGATGCTCTAACCACTGAGCTACCACAGTGTGAATTATAAGTACCATATGTGAATTTAGAAGTAGGAGTGACAGTGAGCGCCATCTATAAGCCAAGCGGCGAGTGTGAAAACACTCTTTTATGCGCATGTTTGGCGTCACGTAGCACGTGTACTTATTACGAGCGCGCAGCTGATTAATAGTCCCTCGTATACAAACTAATGACACAAAGTCTGCCAGTACGAGACCCTCGTTAAATGAAATAAGGGAAAGAAATGTATACCGAAGGGCTCGTTTTTCCGTGTTTTGACACAATATTAATGAGATCTAACAGACAGTAATGCCAAGAAATGAACAGGGGAAGTTATTAGAGCCTATATATATATATATATATATATATATATATATATATATATATATATATATATATATATATATATATATATATATATATATATATATATATATATATAGGCTCTAGGCGAAGCAGTTTCAAAACACATCAAGAGCCACTCGCTCGTGGCTTCTAGAAGACAAAGTGCATAAAACATTGTGTCCGTAAAAAAATTGGTCAAAATTGAATTGGAAACCGAAATTACATAGTATGTTGTCTATCACGTGACAGTGTTGGAAATGCGCAGTTTCTTTTTCACATGGTCGTCTGGTCGATGGACGCGCCACTTTCATTTTACGAACTCTTGTTTGGCAGCACCTTTCCTTCCTCCGTGTTTGGCAGTGTGGCAGCTTGGGCTAGTTGGTATGACATGACGATAGTTATAGCGCGGGAACAGAACGACGACGCAGAGACCGTGACCTACTTGTCTCTGCGTCGTCGTTCTGTTCATCGCGCTATAACTATCGTCTTGTTCGGCGTCGGTGAAGTGGAAACCTGGCATTGACGTTGCGGAGATTTGTGAATGTGTCATTTGATGCGTCGATGCCGAGTGCAATGACAAGTGTTCTCGGGTGCAGTCGTGATAGCCGCGCGGAACGTCGAACGCTCACAATGGGCGGCAAGCGAACGACTCCACGTGTGCATCGACCGGCAAGTCCGAGATTCGTAGGTGACGTACTGGATGCATGTTTTCTTCGTCATGATTCCAAACCGAGTGAGATACCTTTACGCATTTCTTGTAGTGAAGAATGGTGTGCGCGTCGGTAATTTATTAGGTGCACTGTTGATCCCTTTACGGAAGTGGATAATCGCCCGGCAGCCGGCAGTGTTTCGTCATTAGCCGGCTTCAGTCGCATGGCTAGTGCCGGCCTCGTGATACAAAACGTGCTTTGCCGGCACGGGCATTTGTTGGAGTTTCTTTTTGTGAACGGCTGTCAAGTGAAGAGTGCCAGCAGTTTACACCGCTGCAGCTATTTGCCGGTAGTTTGATTTATTATAACTAGTACATTGTAGCACATCCGCCA